TGGTTATCATTAATTTTGTTAGAACTACTAAAGTTGTTAAATTTTTATTATAATTTGACTATTAAAAATAAGTGATAATTGATAAAATAATTACTCTTTCTGTTGATTTATAATAGACATAGTTTATTATCTAATAAAATAAAATTTTAATAATTTATTAATAAAATTTTATATTTATTCTTAATTAAGAATCACTTACATAAGACTTATTATCCAATGTATATTATAATTATTTTTTAAAATAAAAATAAAAACATATTAAAAATAAATAATAAATAACTAAATTTAAATTTCAAATAAAAAAATTACCTAAGTTAAAAGTTGAATGTAAAAAATAATAGTTATTATTTAATAAATTAAAATTTATTTATTATAAGTAAATATTTTTAAACACCAAATTAATTAATTAAAAACAATTATAAATAAATAACATTACAAATAAAATTAATCATCTTAACAAAATTATTATTATTCGTGCCAGATAACCTCATTTGTGGCCAAAGAAAAGAAAAGAAAAGGGGTTGGATAAAACTTCTAAGTAATTCCATAGAGAGGGAATTTTTTATTTTTTATTTTTTATTTTTTACGACGGTCAGTGTCTCAAACGTAAAAACTGACTTTCAAGGATTTCTCCAAAAAAAAAAAAAACACAATCCCTCAAGCCTCAGGTTCAAGATATCGTAAAGACTTAAACCCTGCTCAGCTCTGCGTGTCGACAGTCAAAACCCTAATTCAAAGTCTCAGCAACTTTCAAAATTCTGAAATTCACATCAAGGGAATTACAAAAGCTCTGTTCTTTCTTGTTTGAGCCGAGCCTAAAGCAGCATACTTGACATGAATTCTCTCCTAAGGTAAGCAGTAATCAACACCCATTAGCCCCAAATCAGGAGACAACTCATTCTTTTGTGCTTCTTTTCTTCTTTGTATGCAAAAAATCTGATTGGCTCCGAAAGGGGTTTGCTTTGTGAGAAACTGGTTCTTGATTTATTCATTTTTAAGCATTGGAATGTAGCAAGGGATTGCGATTTTGCTCAATTGAATGTTTGTGTGTCCCTTTTGTTGCCATGCTTACGAGCAGAACCAGCGGAAGGGTGAGTGTCCTGTCTAAAATGATTGCTAATTTGAACCAGTTTCTTCCTTTATCTCCTGTTGCTTGTGAGAGGTCGAATGTTGGGCTAAACCCTTCTTCCATTTCACTTAAAGTTCGGTACTTTCGAGGGTCCAGACTTCTTTATAGGCCGAAGGTATCATCTTCTGAATCAATTCAATCACCCTGTGCTGTTTTAGCTAGCCAGGGCTCCCGCTTGGCTAAGACTAAGGCTCAAGGTGTGCTCTTCGATTATTTGCATTACACTAGGAGCTTGAGCTTCACAGATGCTGAGCATATCAGTAAGAACTCACCTTATTTTATTAAGGACTTGCTGTCCAAGGTTGATAACGAGCAAGATGTGAGTAAGTCTTTATCCAAATTTCTTAGGTATAACCCAATTAATGAGTTTGAACCATTTTTTGAGAGCTTGGGTTTGAGCCCTTCTGAGGTACCCCTACTTCTTCCTCGGCACTTGATGTATTTGACTGATGATGGTATCATGCTTGAAAATTTCCATGTTTTATGTGGTTATGGGATACCTCATAGTAAGATAGGTAAGATGTATAAGGAAGCCAGAGAGATTCTTGAATATGATTATGGAGTGTTGACTTTGAAGCTTCAGGCTTATGAGAATTTGGGTCTCAGCAAAGCAACAGTCATTAAGCTTGTTGGTTGTTGTCCAAGACTTTTGGTTGGTGATGTTGATCATAATTTTGTTCAGGTTCTTCACAAATTGAGAGGATTAGGGATAAAGAATGATGGGATTGGGAGGTATCTTTCAGGTAGGGACACTTATGATTGGAGTAGAGTGCTCAACACCATAAATTTTCTTGATAAAGTTGGTTGTACTGAGAAGCAGTTTAGTAATTTTCTTAAAACAAATCCAGCATTGGTGTTTGAAGGATCGGGGAAGAAGTTTTATGTATTATTTGGCAGGTTACTCAAATTGGGTCTTGAGAAGAGTGAGGTGTATTCCTTGTTTATTCAGAATCCAAAAATATTTTCAGTTAAGTGCATTAACAATCTTTTGCTGGCACTTGATTTTCTGTTTGCTGTTGGAATGAGGGTAGAAGATATTGCATTTATTACATCTGGCTATTTTGAACTCATGAGTACATGTTCTCTGAAGAGCCCTAAAACAATGTGCAGAGAGTTAAAAGTCGGGAGAAATGAATTATCCCATATTATAATGGGAGATCCATCAAAATTCTTCAATTTGGCTTCTAAGTCTAGCATCAAAGGTGATGAACTGGTAGCTAATCAGAATCCAAGTAACCATCTTGAGAAGAATATTTTTTTATTGAGCTTGGGGTATACTGAAAACTCAGAGGAGATGATGAAAGCATTGAAAAAGTTTAGAGGCAGAGGGGATCAATTACAGGAGAGGTTTGACTGCCTGGTTGAAGCTGGTCTGGACTGCAATGCTGTTAAAGACATGATTAGACATGCTCCAACTGTCCTTAACCAGTCTAAAGGTGTAATTCAGGAGAAGATTGATTACTTGAAGAACAGGTTGCACTACCCGCTTGAATTTTTGGTATCATTTCCTACATATTTATGTTATGATATGGAAAGGATTAATCTTAGATTTTCAATGTATATGTGGCTGGTGGAGAGAGGTGTAGCAAAGCCCAGGTTGTCCTTGAGCACACTCCTTGCTTCTTCAGATGCAAGATTTGTAAAATATTTTGTAGACATCCATCCTGAAGGTCCAGCAATGTGGGAGACTTTGAAGAAATCATTGTGTTCAAGCTAAGCTACTCCATTTCTTATTTATAGCTTTATGCTTATTATATCTTCTTCTTTTTTTCTTTTTTTTTTTCATTTGAATACATGAAGTCTAACATGCAAATATTATAATTTGTTTTTATCAAATTCCATCTGTAATAATTTTGACTCACTAAAGGCACACTCTTGTGATTGCCTTGCAGTACATGGCTGATATAATAGTCATTTCATGGTAAATCATGCTCTGGGTTTCTCTATTTGTAAAACTCGTTTGTTTGTTGTATTTGTGATACAAATATTTGAGTTTTGGCCTTTTGATTATAGTCTTACCATCTTTGTATGTTACCTGTATGATGTTTCTATTTTGTAAATTGTGTGATATTTTCTACTTTGTCCATGATAAAAAGGTACAGGTTGATAACTAAGACTAAAATGAGTTTTGCTCTTTTTCAACTGCTAAAATAAGTAACTTGGAATATATATCATAGGTTTCTGCACTTCTATATCCACTGAAACATGTATATTAAGCGGATTAAAAGCTCATTGATATCAACCTGAATTATTTGCATGTATGCATATTTACCAGAATAGTTATGCAAGATACAACTAGATACTTTTCTTCCTTGCTGCTTGTAAATATACTTCTTTTATCAGAAACTTTAGATGCTTCCTGATTATCTATTATTATGGGTGATTTGGATAGAAAAATTTTTGTGTTGAATAAAGATAAGCTGGTTTATTATGATTTCCTTTTTTTTTTCTCTCTTGCTCCTTTTCTAGTTTCTTCTAGCTTTGATGCCGTGATACTTGAGTTAATCTGTAGTTTCTGCTCAAGTGCAATATATACTCTATTTTTACCTTACAAAATTGTATCCCCAATATTTTTCTCTTTTTCTCATGGCACCTTCTATTTCATGTTTTCTTTCTTTTACTTGGGGTTCTGTTCCATCCTTGATCTCATTGCTTTCTTGTCTATTTGATATCTCACCTTCCGCACCTGATTCTGATCACACATACAAAATCATGAAACTGAGATGTAGCTTTCTCGGAATAGTGATGGATTCTACTTCCTGTCTCAAGTTCATTTAATTCTTTAATATGCTCCGGAATTCGTATGGCTTCCCTTTATCTCAAAATGCTTTCAGCCATACTTTTGCATGTCAAACCAAATCAAAGGAAATCGGAATAAAGCAACGAGTACAGTTACGGAGACCTGAAAATTTGCTGTCTCGAACGTTCAATTCCTCTTGTGAATGATTCTTCATTCTTACCTCCTAGAAAAAATACGGTCAAGAAAATTCAAGTTAAAGCAGAATTATTCCAGGTTTTATTCTTCCTGTTAACAATGTCCATCATAGGTCTGATATGCCAATGGCACCATGGGAGTTCATAAAATGGTTTGAATAGATGCTTGCAAGCTAAAATAACCTGAAAGAAGATGCAATCACCACAAAACTTGTACACAGCCATATTCTTTGCCTGCTTGAAGATTCTGCACTAGATATTCTTTTTACTTAAAAAACATAATTCCCTACAGCACTTTCAATAGTAGGAAGCTTTTCCTACCTATACTGCGGTACTGCCCTTTGCTAGTTACATGGGGAGGTCTTTCCACCTAAAAGTGTGCAGGATAGCAGGAGTCAATCATATACACTAACATTATCACCCCAGAAACTATACCATTCTAATGCTAACATTATCACACCAGAAACCATACCATTCTAAAGTTTAGCATTCGGTCATTGGACTTTCTGTAAAGGCTTTTTATTTTTTCACAATTTTCTTTGCCTGTTAGTTGCAGCATCTCTTAAGGAGGTTGAGGAGGAGGATGAAGAAAATCCTGAGCGGCCATTCTCAGCCTTGTCCTTAGTGAAAGCCTTCTTAACATCTTCTTTAAGCTCCATGAAACGTGTTCTCTTTATTTTCTGCTCCTCTGGAGTGCCAGTCTCAAGGTAAAATAACTCCTGAAGGTCATCTTCCATGAATCTATCCAGCACTTCTGAGCAATGCGGGAAATAGCGCCGGCCCAACACCACTGTGCCATGACACAAGTTCAAACTTCAAATAAGTGCAATTGGGAAAGTCTGAGATTTGGATAAGTTGGGATTAATTGGTAAAGACTTCTAGAAGTGAATGTATTATGCTTGACCCAATTTCCGATATGGATTTCAACAACTCCCAACCCAATATTACTAAAACCAAACATAAAGCAAAAGTAACATACTGGCCAAAAGCAAAGGAAAAAAGAGTTACAGATTCCTAAATTACAAAATCACCTGGCTTTCTTGTCCATTTCTCATTGTGTTTCTTCCTTCTTCAAATCTTCTTTGAAATTTTTTTCTTTCAAGTGTCACAACTACTATCAGGTTATCAATCTACAATTAATCTCATATATTCAAGTTGTGTTCCGGCAAATCTTGTAAAAGCAATTTATGAGAAGTTCTTATGAAAAAACTATGCATGATTGAGTAATTGCTTTTCAGACAGGGATTTCACAAACACAACACCTCCACTGAACAGAACATAGTGATAAAATGCAGCTATCAATAAACTGAAACAGAAAACCTGGTTGCAGAGGAGACACAATGCTTGCAATTACCTGTTTTCATAAGGGTCTCCACCCTGGAACGAAGTCTTTTGTTCCGCATGATGGGTGTCTCATTTAAGTCAACCTCCCTGAATTTCCCACCTGAACCTTTTGATGCAGAAAGACCAGCAAACTCAAATGTTGTCTCAGCATTTGCATTGTACATGGCTAGCTTGGCTTCAGTTGGGAAAAACAATCGTGCAAGTGCCACTGTGATACAAAATACCATTCAAAATTAAAACCAGAACCACATCATAGATCACACAAGGAAATTATTTACAGAGCAAAATTAGCAAGTATTATAAAATCTTCACTTGTTTGCTCATTTCTTTCACATTAAATAGTTTCAATGCAAGCTAAAACAGGGGAAGGGGATGGAAGCCATGAAAATTAACCATGTTAACTAATACCTCTGTTCTCTAGGTTCAGAAGTTGCATGTGCAGATCATCAGCCAGTGTTTGAGAGGTGACAGATATGTTCCCAGCCATGGGATTCCCCCACATTTCTCTCTCAAGAAGATCAATGCATATCCGGTCATTATTTGTTTCCTTCCCTTGCTCTGTTTTTGCTTGATAATCCTTTGGTCTTGTCAACCTCCGACAGATGTTAATAGCACTACGTCCATCAAGTGTCAATTCTGAAGCAGAAGCCCCTCTTGTCAGAAGTAACATTATTATTGATGGCTCTTTACGCATTGCAGCAATGTGAAGAACTCTATAACCACGAGAATTTAGCAGATTTACATCAGCCCACTGCAGGCCAAGAACATCAGACACCATCTTAGGATCACAATATGCTACAGCATAATGGAGGGCATGTGCATCATCTAAGGTTATGGTAGACTCAGTCAGAAGAAGCTTTAAAAGTTCAACATCATCACAGTCTAATGCTTTGAGTATTCTCCTGATTCTCTTCTCACGAAAAGGGTCAACAGGCACCATGTCATCTTCATCATCTGTTGGAGTCTTCACTCGAAGCAATCTAATACTCTCAGCAATTTCATAAGGAAGTTCTTTCTCAATTGAGACAATGTCAAGATCTGACCGTGCCACCCTGTCAACACACTGAGAAACAAGTTGACTACATTGGCAATGGAAGGCAACCACAAGGATTGGGATAACATCTTCTACAAAAGCCTTCTCAACAAAGTTTAGAAGACATCGCTGCAAACACACAAGTATAAGATTAGTAAAATCTTCTGTTGGGGCTGGTCAAATCAAGCCACAAATCTTTCTGTACAGATGGGGAGACCTTAGTCTGAGGTTCCTTATTTCATTCAACAGATGAGCACAACTAAATATTCTCCTGACTAATGTTCACATGTCAATGTTGCCAGAGGTATCTGGTCTAAAAATTGCTTGATAGTTTTCACAACTCAAATTCCTTGGAGTCTATCCATAAGCTCTACATATTCTTAGCCAGAAACAGAATACTAACTAGTGTAGTTAATTCTTAACTCAGCACCAGAGATATCTTACCAGGCTAAGATATTGAATTAATGAGACATCTCCATCAAGTGCATATTAAACTGTAAACAGGCATCTATATAAATCAATTCATGGTGAAATCATAGAAATTGAACTACTCCAGTCAACAATAATCTTGCAATTGATGAAGTAAATAAATTTTCTCAACAGTTGTGCATCGCATACTGACCTGAAACAGAGAAACCATCTCGGGTACTTGAAATATGGATGACGCATACATCAACTCCACTGCAAAATTAATGGTGGGTGAACAGGCATGGTGAGCACATGTATTATCTACACAGGTTGACACCTCCATTGGAGAAGGCTTGAGCTTGCCAGTGTATAAGTAGCTCAAGAAAATCAGAAACGCTTCATATCCAATCTTGCCATAAGGCAAAAACTCACTCATGTTATACTTTGGTTTTCCTCCTTTCTCGGAAGATCCATTTCCTTTCTTGAATAGCTCATGAAAGAACTTACTCCTGGAGGCTAAAATACATCTATGAACACTAACAGAAATACCCTCAACGACTATCTCAGCATCACTATAATCACAATCATTGTCAACCAGAAGTTGCTCTAAATGAGAACTGAGCTTGCTTAGACATAACAATTCAAGATTGGGACTAGTTTCAGAGCCTGAATAAGAGGAAATGTTGGGAGTGGTAGAACCATTTGACAGATGAGAAGATGAAGTAAAGCTCAAAGAAGAGGATGGCTCAGATGAAAAAGCCATTAAATATCTAATAAAGAGCTTAAATCAAGAGCAAGAAAAAAAAATCAAAACACATGATCCATAGATCCTTTCTAGTTTCTACTGCTAATTAAAACTTCAGTCTGTAGTCCTGATCAACCCAAACCCAGGTTTTGCTATAGCATGTATGTCTACAAACCAAGTCCAATGCCATCAAGGGGTTAAATCAACACAAAAACCATGAAGATTCAAAATCAATATCCCAAATTGACCCATTTGATGAAATTATTCACAATAATACATGGCTCAAAAATTTAATTCAAAGGCATAATATTTATTCACTTGCTTGAATTTCCAGGCCCTCCTAATCAGCACACTTCTGGTTTGCACATGATAGAGAAAGAGAAAAGATTGAAACTTTACAACATGCCTAGAATCACTACCAGGATAGGTGCAAACCCATTAATCAGATCTGAATGAAACCCAGAATTTGATAGAATTTACAATATAAAACAGGGGGAAGAGAAGGGCAAAAAGAGGGAGTCAAATGACAGGGAGATTCTGTTAACTTGTGGATGGGGGTGAGACTGGAGTGAGGTAGAAGAGACGTCAGTGGAAGAGGGTAAATGGGTAACGTCAAATGAGTGAAAACATTGATGGAATGGATATAAAAGGCATTAAAGGAAATTTTGTTTTTTGCTATCGAAAACCGACAAAGAACCCCGGAACAGAGAAAGGAAAAGAAAGAAAGTGGGCGGGTTGCTGGTTTTTGGTTTTCGTTAGAGAGATGAAGTCGTTTAAATGACGTCGGTGTCGGCGTCAGCATTCGGCGGTGTCTTCCGGTGACGCTATTGTTGATGACATCGGCTCCGTTAGAGAATAGAATTATTGAGGCGCAAGGTAACGAAATATTGTCCTTTAAAATATTGATTTTATAAGTCATGCTACGGTTTCGTCATTTTGTCTTAAAAATATATTAATTTTGTTT